TTTCCTGTGGGCATGGATCATAGAGATGGCCATTCATTTTTCTTGTTTAACCAAAGAGGGGGAAATATTACAATACAGGTCCACCATTTTAGGCTGTACCTTCCGGGTTCTTCCCTCTCCCCTCCCTTCAACTCCATTTTATAATCTTAGGTTTCTATTTCCTTGCCCTAAGCTACAAGGCACGTAGTTTAAAGGGCAACATGGCTTTTGATAGACCAGAGCTAAATTACCCCAGCAATGACCACTCCCTTCCTGTTGAACCAATATAAGATCACACCCTTCCCGGTTGACTCTCTCTTCTCTTCTGCCTCCTGCCTTCTCTGTCTGGCAGAGGTCACCTTCCTCTTCTTTACCCTGAATAAAAGTCTCTAGATGGGCCATCTGGTGTGTGGTGTGGTTGATGAGTGGTGCCTGGTTGTTTTTTCCCTTTTAGAGACAGTACAGTTTATGAATGTATGTTGTTGTTGCTGTGTATTATCTAATTGATTCTGACTCCTAGCAACCCTATATTGGGTTTCTAAGGAGTGGCTGGTGTTCCAAAATGCTGACTTTGTGGTTAACAGTCCAGTGTTCATCCTACACCAGGACTCCTAAACATGTGTTAAATTTCATAGAACATAAAAGAATAAATGCTACTGTGTTGTTGTTGTTAAGTGCCATTGAGTCAGTTCCAACTCATAGCAACCCTGTATAAGGGTTCCTAGGAGTGACTGGTGAACTTGAACCACCAAATTTGCAGTCCAGCACATTAACCCAAGTGCCACACCAGGACTGTACTGAATATACATATTTTAATGTATGTATGTACATTTTAAAAAAATGATTAAAAGTTTGTAAGTGATGAAAAATGTAAATGTGGCAAGAAAAGGCACAAATGAGTCTAAGATGAGAGAAGAGAGGATAAAAAACATCTCGATTTGATGTTATAGTCCTGGTGTAATGTTGTCAGATACAACTTGGAATGCAAGATTGGTTTGAATGCAAGGTCGGCAGTTTAAACTAATCAGCTGCTTCTCAGAAACCCTAAACAGGGTTGCCTTGAGTCAAAACTTACTCAACAACATGTAACAACAATAACAATGTATATAATGTTCGTTTAGAGGAAACTGAAGAGTAACTTGTAAACTTTGATATACTACTGGCATAGACAATTGAGAACACTAGCTTATTTTAAATGATTTAATGCCGTTTTTCTGAATATTTACTTTATATGCATATTTTCAAATGCAAAATTAGATGGGATTATAAAATAAAATATGAGTTTCTATTTATTCTTAATTTTGTTCAATATTCAAGAGATTTAAACACCATACATATAATCATAGACACTAGCTACTCATATATTTATAAAGATTACATTATATGTATCCAG